AGTGAGGAGGAGGATAATGTTTGTGAGGCGTTGCCATTACTAAAGTATAGGCTCTCTTCGCGAACGATAAGAGGGTTAAAGCCTCTCGGTCCGCAACGCTTACTATACATATACTGAACTCGATTTACTTGTGGTGCAGTCTTCATATTGCCTTTTCTAGCGAGCTCATGACGCACAAAGAAGCGTCATCGGCTCTAAGCGGGGTAAAAAGCAGTACGAGAAAAGGTTCCCAAATGCGTCGGTGGCTTGATGCTCCGGCGTGGCTTGTTAAAGAAGGCAGCTGAAGTGGTTCAGCTGATGGATGGACGGACAGGCGCAAAAACACGGCGCCGTCATGCAATGCGGCCGCGCAACCAGCCAACAGGCACTTCGGGAGCGCGCAGCTTTCGCCTCCTCTTGCGGAGCTATGCGGTGGCGTGTGTAGACACACAAACACGCCGTGTTTGATACGGACCCCGGGCGTGCCTGCGTGGATCCCGAAATAGAACGACGCCTCAATGAGGCTCACACATCTGTAGGTACACGCCCATCATCGTTTATCACTTCTTTATTACATCGTTAAAACAGCATGATTAATGTTTAAGCTGATCCTTATGGCTAATGTAGCCCCAAGGCCAGCTTCTAGCAATAGACGCTAAAAGCAGGATTTTTTCGTTTTGTTTTACAGCGAAACTGTTATGAGATCACAACTAGGGGTACGTGCATTTGTCCACCGCCAGCGTCCGTAACCACGTCACGCGAAATTAGAAAACAAAAATCTAGCACCAAAGACACAGTGGGCCTCGAAACTCGGGTCCCCTTGGTGCCAGCCCAGTAATCTATCACTGAGCTACACTGGTGCTTGTGACTTGTTGGCAAACGTGCCTTAGGTAAGCCTGATGTCGGAAAGCAATCGCGTTAATACAACTTATAAAGCGTTTTAGAACAGCGAAAGTACAACCAGTCGTCGGACAGTACGAATAGCGTAACGAGTGGGCCGTCCGGTGCTCCAATCGATTACAAAGCTTGTTCTTGTTCCGCTTTTAACTGTGGTGCATACCCACTTCTGTTATAATTCCTCATCGTCGTCAGCCACTACATAAACAATTGGCATGGAATTCCTTGCAAGTGTTTAGCGGAGAGAGAGAGAGAGAGAGAGAAATAACATTTATTTATATACCCGGCGTGTAGGAAGTCCCCGGCCTAGCAGGGCGCGGATGTTCCCTATCTTAAGATTACGGCTATTAGAATCCAATAATCTCAGAGCCTAGACCTCGAGGATGTTGTGCTGCGACTATAGGCGACAGTTACCCGGGTGCGTCCACGTTCGTTAGACGGGTCGTCGGCTCCTTTTCTCCGTTGCTTCGCCAAAGCCTCCTCAAGCCGCCGGATGGCCCTTTTTAGCGGATACCAGACTTCTCAGAAGAATGACAAAAAATGGCACAGCGAATGCCGGCCTATTACCCAAAAGTTTATTAATAATGCACTAGTGGGTATCAAGCAAGTGTGCTTGCAGTAGTTACCCATTGAGTGTTTTGACAAGGCTCTGAAAGGCCGCTGTTCTAGCTTTCGCCGTGACTGTGATGTGCCTTCCGTGCAGGCCTGGCGTTTTTTTTTTTTTTTTTTTTTACAGCCGAGCTCAATGAAGTAGATGCCATCGAACATCTTTCGAAGCCCTGCCAACATTCACGTAGCCAAGCGAGGGTTCAACTGCTTCCTCCCGAAATTTTCAATTATGCATGTATATATACAGGCTACACATACAAACGGGTGCGTTCAGGATAACGAGGTGCTCTGCGAAAACTTGCTCGTCGGGTGTTTCAGAAACCCTCGCATTTTTCGTTGCTGCGCAGCTACGCCAGCTGTGTGGTTTCGTCTTATTTATAGCGACATGGGGGCCAGTGTCTATAGGAAAGAAAAATATGCGCGCTTATGCACCATCTGTCCCTGTGGGTCGTGTCTCTCGAGAGCGCCAGCATGCGATGTCCTTCGGAATTTCCGCTCCTTCGTCAGCTCGGACGGGGGTTGCTGTTTTTGATGCGGCGTGCTGCGATGACGAGCACCGACATAGAGCGGCCCGTCATCTACAGATAGGGACCACGTATAGCGAGTCCGAGGCGCAGCAACTCGCGCGGGGCGCTGCACCGACGGAGGGTACTGCTCACGGAGCTCATTAAAAAGGACTTTCACCACGACGAACGCACTCTGGACCTTTAAAAAATATATAGAAAAGAAAGCAAAAGGTTCACGTGGAGTTTCTCAAAATAAGCGGCTTCTTTTACACTAGCCCGTAAACACGCTGCGGATATACCACGCCACCCGTCTCGGAAGTTGCCAGCGATGAGTGCGTGCGTCGAGTGGCCTTGCTCGTTCGAACCGACCACGTTCGGACTAAAGAAGAAAGCGCCGCGCAGTATTGGCTCCCGAACTCACGCCGAACCCGAAAACCGCCGACGCAACATTTAAGGGTTGTCCCCGTAACTTCCAGAACGTGGTTATCAATACTAAGAGGCAACGGGTGGCAGACCTATCGACCAGTACGACTTACAGAACTCACCGATGGGAATTCAGTGTACACTCCTTCTCCGTTAAAGACAAGGGCAGATCTCCTGTGAGTGGCCAAGCTGCAAGGCGCGCCAGGCCAGACCGTGCACCCGAATCTGTAGCTGCAACTATAGCTCTAGACACACGGAGACTCGAACAACGTGAGGCATCGCTTTTATGCTGTCTGTGTAGATGTAATATTTATAGGACTTTTTAAAAGTGGTCAAGTGCACTCGGGTATATACAATTTTCAGTGACCCACAGGTTGCAACAGCGTAAACGCAGCATAACATAATGTTATGGACTTAAGTAAAAAAAACGGTGCTGAAAAAGAAAAAGGAGAAGAAGATTGGGGGCGCGTATGCGAATAATAACTCTTAATCACAGCCTCAACGGCAAAGTTTTACTGTTCGAAACACAAGAAGAGATCAGCACATGTGACTACCAGCTGACCTGCACCTTTGAATACTGCTGAATACAGCGGCTACCTCTGTCTGCGTGGAAACCGAAAGTTTCGACTCAACGCCTTCTTCGCTGCAAGAATACGCGGCACATAGGCTTTCGAAATATCTTGAACTTAAACGTAGGTCGACCTGAAAAATCGTAGCTTCTCACGCGGTTGAATGCTACGGAGCAGCTGCTTGCAGTTTTTGCTTGAGTTTTTTTGTAGGCCAAGGACCAGCTCCTTCACCGCCGTTTGTGGGAAGCACCGACGGCACCACAATGTTTTTTTTTTTCTTCTTCCTTATCTTATGCACCGTTTACACTCCGGCCGCTAAGCATGTAAATGTTTAAGGTACATAAGAGCTTTATTTTGATGACAAAGCTTATACTGTGACCCAAGTGTGACTTCATTGCAACGTGCGTTGAGTGACATAATTCAAATTTTGGTGCCTGCAGCACCATGAAGACGTTAAGGTGTAATGTCTTCGGGCCTTTAGGGTAAATAAATAAATAAATAAATAAATAAATAAATAAATAAAAGACGCGCATGCTTCCGAAGTAATGTGCTTGATATTTATAGAGCGGAACACAAGCGAATGCTTATATCGCGTTGGCTTTCACGCAACTTGTGTGGTTCATCATTGTCACACACTTCGGGTGAGGCCCCGCCGATCCAACACCGACGTGCGGCAGACTCGCAGGCTTCCACTTTACGCTTCGGCCTGCGACGCCTGAAAGGCCTCGAAGTGGCACATTTCGAATTTATTTGCGGGTTGGTCGACCCGTGCGGGGTTGCACGTGTGGTGATGTGTGGGCCTGACCGACGCACTCATAGAGCAGACACAGAGTTTGATTACACTTAGACAAACATTTAATTAAAACAGGGGCAAAGGCAGGAGATTACAAAAATAACAGAGGAAGAAAACTGATACGCGATGAGGAAGAAAGGCTATATAACAAAATATGCTAAAAGAACACCACAAGAGGTACAAGCAAAGGCCAATACGCTGAATGTTAATAAAATAACGACAAAATGGAAATCACAAAAGAGCGATACAAGGGGGGTTACAAGGAAATAATTACGGAATGATCATTGGTCGCGCTTTTGAATTTCTATGTGCGTCGCAGCGCACACAACTACACATATTTAAAAAGAAAGGCTGGTTAAAACAATTTAACAGTTTAAAAAAAAGTCACAATAAAAGTTCCATACGGACCAGGCCAGCTCTTGGTGCACGTAGGGGAGTTGACGGGTGCCGCTGAAGGTCTCGCCGGCTTGGTAGACGACGAGGGTGCCCGGAATTGCAGCCGTCTCAATACGTTGCGCGGGTCACTCCGTGCTCGCCGCCTACGCGAAACTCGCGACACCGACGACCGCACTTGTTGCTGGCTGTACGTCAACTGCCTATTCCGATGCAGTCCAAACCTCTTCAGGGGCGTACACGTGTTCCCGTCTCATCTGGGAGTAATTCTCCTTGTTGAGACAGCCGGTTCCCCTTCCGGTAAGGGGCAGGAAGACGAGCCGGCGCCATGCTGGGTCGTTATAGTCGCCGGATGTCGTCTCCCAACACAAAAACGCCCTTCCTTGGAAGATGGGGCCCGCGGATGCTCCGAAAATCGGAGTCGTTTGTGACAATCATCATCAACATGAGCAGCAGCAGCCAGACTACACACACTGGATGGTAAACACCTCCCCCATGGATGTGTAATCAGCCTCGTTCTGAGCTTGCTGCGACCACGTTATTCCGTCCAACCTCGTAATCAATTCAACCAGCCGACTTTTCACCTTCCTCTCGAGCACTCACCTTCTCTTCGAATCGGTTACTTTTAAGGACCAGCGGTTGTCCTGCCTTCTGGCTGCATGTCCATGCCAATTTCTTCTTGATTTCAACAAAGATTTTGTATAAATTCACTGGTTCCCTGACCCACTCTTCTGTGCTTACAAGCTTGTATGAAATGTTTTTGCGTTTATTCGGGCCGCTTACGGGTGTTGTTGGGTAACGAGGCTTATAGCTTTCCTCCTCGACTCGCAGGTGGTTGATCCTCCTCGGCCTCTGCTGGCAGGCGTTGACGGTGTACCCCGAAGTTGGGCAAACTCCGGTAAGCATATTTGCATTCGCCTGCGCACGCTAACAGTGACACGTGTGGGGTCCTGGCCTTCAAAGCGGGTGCCGACTCGCGTACGTGACCTGAAACGTGCGCGAATCGAACACACCGCGTTGTGTGCAAATATATTGAACTTCTCTGTCACCTTTGTTTCCATGCACTCGTTATTATTTTTTTAACTTTGCGCATTTTTTAAAGGAACAAGGGCACCCATTCGATAAACAGCTACTGTTTTCTTTTTTTTCCCTTTTTTTATCTTGGTGTCTTCATGGGTGTCCTGAGTTCGTGAAGGATTCTGTTCCATCTTCAACAACCCCGAGTAAACTGATTGCTCTGCATGAGCGTGCCGCTTTTCTTCACGAGTTGTAGGCAATCGAGATCGCAGACTTCAAATACAAAGTGGAGTGCGGATACCATGTACCTAGGTGCTGAAAACATTCAGAGAGTATGTTTACAAGCGGAGTGTGGTAAAAACGTAACCTGTGGTGTGTTAGGGCCTGTATATACTCAAGCAGCATGACCAAAACACACATGACGGATGGCTTTTCGCCCTTCTCTCACTGTAACTTGGAAGTGTGACAGTTTGGGCTATAGTTTGTGTGACATGGCGCTATAACTGTCGTCGTCGTTCTCTCACTGGCTATACTTGCACTGAGAGACAGGCAAGAAGCCAATTGTTGCAGGCCGGTGAAGGGTTGTCCGTCTGGGGCACCGTGCAGTGTGGCTTGAGAATAATTAGGCGTTTGATGACTGCAGCACGTGCCAAAACTGTGCAGCCACGGGAGGGGGGGTACCATAGGGGCCTGAGCCTACCGCGCAATTTGGACGGATGTTTTACCAAGAATAAATGCTGACAATGCGGGATTTTCAAGGCCTTAAAGACGTGGGCTCCTCAAAAAAAAAAAAAAACCTTGCTACGGGCCTGGCAGGTGCTATAAGATTGTTAATTTCCAGTAACTGTGCGGAGAGTTCTTTCGTTGTAACTTTGTGAATGGTTATTTCTGCGTGGCTCGTCTCCTTTCGTGAAGATTAGCGCAAGTGCAATAGCATGTGTGTCTTAATCGTAGCCTGGCGCAGCTTATGTATAAAATCTCCGGCAGTAATTGTTCGCTTAAAGTTGTGCCAGCTCGGTTCAACGTGATTGACGGTTTAGAAGCGTGGCAGTTTGGGCTAGTTGGTATGACATCACCATCGTTATAGCGCGAGAACATAACGTACGACAACGAGTTCTGTTCTCGTCCTTCTTGTGTCCTTCTTGTCTCTTTGTCGTCGTTCGGTTCTCGCGCTATAACTATCGAGGTGATTGTCGAGCTATGATTCGATAACGACAGAAAACATGAGGGTTCCGCTAGTGCCACCCGACGGCTGCAGCGAATATTAAAGCTCGTCGTACGGTGTCGCAAGAGATGGCAGCCGAATGTCGTTCAAGAGCTCTTACTGGCCACCACAATCTTCGCTTGGCGTCGTCATGCGTTTAGTTACGCCTTCTCGAGTTTGCCGCTTTCGAAATGCATGGAAGGACAAGAAAGAGAGAGTCTCCACATGTGGCCACATTAGAGTGCGACGAATTTCCCGTAGCGACGACTCAGCCCTCACGGTCTCGTGTTTTTGGCTGTTGGAGGTCTCGTACCGAGGCCTGCAGATGTCGGCCTCCCGTCGCATACACCACAGTCACGCACGCATCTGGTTCGCCTAAATACGTGGGGTCGTTAACGGGAAACCACGTTGACGTTTACCTCGTTTTTTTTTTTTTTTTTTGTATCGTAACTCGCGTTTCGCTCGGTCCGCATCCATGCATATTGCTCCGCCTCGTGCCTATGCCTTTCAATAGCAGATCTACTTAAGTTGACTGTTAGTCCCTGGAGAACGAACAGAAAACTATCATTCCAATGAAGCCGCACGTGTTCTCTTTGTCGTCTTCGTTCTCTTCTTCACCTTCTGCTCCCAGAACACGGGCGCCGATTTGTCCGGCGTCGGATGAAATCACTCTAGTGGGTGAGAGAACGAGTACAGACAGGGAGAGATAAATAAAGCGATAAAGAGGAATGGAAATGGAAATTTTTTTGGTCAGAAGGGATTCGAACCCGCATACCCACGATTTGAAAGCGAACATCGTAAGCCCTGGGCTATCCAGGCACGCTAAGGTAGGACAGAACAGCATTGTATAGTATATATAGCATAGTATAGTATCGCAAGAAGGTGTGAAATGGAAGTGAGGATGAGTAAGAGGTAAAGAAGCAAGGGATTTAGTAAAGCGTAGCATAGAAGAAAAAAGAAAAGTGTGAAAGAAAGGGGGAGAACGACACAACGAGAGAAGGAGAGAGAAAGAAACAAAGTGCGAGAAATAGAGAGAAAAATGAAAGGAAGACAGAAAGAGCGAGAAAGAGAAAACTAATACTAGTGTATAATCCCGATGAGTACCCTCTCTCAATGTGCCGCACTGCATTACAATCAACTCCCTCGCTAAAACATTTTTTTTTTTTTTGTTTTACGCTCAGTGCATGGATGGCGAATCTCTTTCGTGCCAGTATCGTAGGGGGTTGGCCCTCGGCAAAGGGGATCCGGAAGACATCGAGATGAGGGCGTCAGTAGAGGGGGAAGACAACAGTTACATTTGTTGCCTGTCGCTCACTGCGACCGCACGGCTCTTCGCCGGACGTCCTCAATGGAATGAATGAAGTGCGCCGGTCGCCTTCCGGCAGCCACTGAGACTCGCCGAATCAGCCCGCTCTTCCAACATCCGACTCCCACCCCTTCCCGTCCCCTTCATGTATTTGAGAGAATCGCGGGACTTGCCGTCTCGTGCACTTTTCCCACTTTATTCTAATTCGTACACGGCGCGAATTCGCGAGAACGCATTGTAATAAAGAAAGGACGTACTAAGAAAATTAAGCGAATCATTAGATGTTGCTTGAACGCTGACTTGCAATTTCAATGACATATGGTTCCGGTCAGCACATCACTTGTGATGCGTACACTAAACAAAAAAGCAAAAGTTACACACTCCAGCTGTCATCTCCCAGTTTCCATAGACTTCAGGCGCAGGGCAGACGAGTTCTGAAAACTTCCAGTGGCGATCCTGCCGTAAACGGAAGTGGTGTACGGTCTAAAGATGCTATAGCCACGGCCCATTAACTTGCGGCCCCAATCACCGCCCGATGCATCATACGAGTCACGGTGTAGCTTGCGCGCATCATAGGCGCCAGAAGGTCAGATCTTACGTTTCACTCTGGTAGGGAGAGATTGGCGTGAGACTGCCTGGGCTGTGTAATATACTGCGTAACCGTCGACTGGACTGGAATGCGGATGCACGAAGCTACGCCTTCGAAACGGCTCCGAACTCGCTCGTAGTGCACGCACGGGCATCGGGGAAAAGAGCCCGCAAAAGGAGAGCTGGAAAACAGTGAGACAGGATGAAGACGGATGACGTCCTGCGGCAAAATGCGGCTGCACTTTGCCTCTCCGCTCCGTACGCTGTCGTAGCTTGTCGCGGCGAGCTAGCGGGGCGATGAAGAAAAAGAGCTCAGCTTTCACGTCGCTCTATCAAACGATGGGCCTTGTAATTCAAGCGGCAGTCGTGAGGCCGACCCCTTTTTTTCACTCTCAAGATCAGACTCTCCAACCTTGTCCGCGGGCACCTTTTATTTGTGCATTTCTCGGTGGGCTTTTCTTCTTAAATTCGTTCGGTCGCGTGGTGTATGCACGCTATGGTCAAGTTCGAGCTAGTTTCTTTTCAGTCAAGGCCACTGGCTGCGCTTGTTTCGGTCACGTAAATCTAAACTTACTACTTGGCCTAAGCGACGGATTGCTCCAGTCGCTGTGTCAGCCGTCGTGCTCACTGCCGAAGAGTATATATGCGCGTAGCAAACATCATGAGGAGGCAGAAGGCAGCGTATACAAAGCGTGAAGGCGAATTTATGTTCATCGTGATAATGTTCTCAGGATACTCGCCTGCTGATCCGCAGGTCGCGGGTTCGATTCCCGGCTGCGGCGGCTGCATTTCCGATGGAGGCGGAAATGTTGTAGGCCCGTGTGCTCAGATTTGGGCGCACGTTAAAGAACCCCAGGTGGTCGAAATTTCCGGAGCCCTCCACTACGGCGTCTCTCATAATCATATAGTGGTTTTGGGACGTTAAACCCCACAAATAAATCATCAGTTAATGTTCTCAGGAGGACAATTTTGCCTTATGTATACAAGACTGCTGCTGTTGCGGTGAGTTCTGAGTGACGGTAATATCGCTGATGCCCGCTGATTTACCGCTTCATTGATTGATTGATATGTGGGGTTTAACGTCCCAAAACCACCATATGATTATGAGAGACGCCGTAGGGAAGGGCTCCGGAAATTTAGACCACCTGGGGTTCTTTAACGTGCACCCAAATCTGAGCACACGGGCCTACAACATTTCCGCCTCCATCGGAAATGCAGCCGCCGCAGCCGGGATTCGAACCCGCGCCCTGCGGGTCAGCAGCCGAGTACCTTAGCCACTAGACCACCGTGGCGGGGCTGATTTACCGCTTCAGTAGGCTATGTCTGAAAAGCTTACTCGAGTAAGTGTTTCGTTGTTGTTTCGGCGGCAAGTTAAGATATCTTTGAAAAATGTAAAATGAAGAAAATTGGCATTACAATGGAAAGTCAGAGAGAGTCGTTATAGGTGCCTGTACTCCTGCTATCGACTCGCACTAGTACATCAAGTAGTGTACTACATCACTCTCATTCTTTTCTTTAGTAATGAATTTTATAGTGACTGTTTGTTCAACTGCCCCCTCCCCTCTCTATTGTTATTGTAGCTTATGCTCACTTGTGGCGTCGCGCTCTCAGCTTGAGGTTTAAGTAGGTTCGATTGAAGCAACGAGAAACAGCCACATTATGAATCCCGGGAAATGTAAAAAAACGCTCATGTAGGCTAACGTTAAAGGGAACACAGGGGATCAAATTTAAGCCGGAGTTCTCCGCTACAGTTGACCACAACAGTAGACTCTGTACCTGGTACCGAGAGCATCCCATATTTTTTTTTAGTTAGCTCCATGATACTCTTCTTTTTCTTAAGAATGAAGCTTCGCCAGGACTGTAGAATAATGACCGTTTAATTTACCTGCACACTTCACTAACACCCACTTCGTTAATGCTAAGTACTATTACGAATCAAAATGTCTGCCCATCACTTTTCCAAGGCGATCAGTTCCCATTACCTTACATGCGCTCATAATCTTGACATTTAGGGGCCCATAAGCAGCTTAGTAAAATACAAAGAACTAGTGCGTGATTCTCACGAGTCATCGGTAGTAAATAAGCGAGAGGAAATGTGGGAGCGGTACGAGTTGAAAATTTTATTCTAGTTTGCTTTGGGAAGTATAGCCATCGCGCACTATCAAATGCTTTCACTTCATTTTAAGTGTTTTCGGATGCTCAAGCTGGGATACCAGCGTGCAGTAGAGTCGACGCTCATTCCTGACATTGTGAGCGTGTTTTATGACGGAATAAATGTTGAGGAGGAGATAGCACCTGTAGGAAGGGCTAGAAAGAAATCCTCGTCTCGTCTTTGAACAGGGAGTGGTTTAGAGGCCCTGTAAATGTGTATATAAATTTATGAGAAATTGTGTCTCGCAGCAAGTGGGAACCTTTTCAACGCGTATTTCGTGAAACGCACGTGTGCGATGGTCTCTGTCGAGGCGACGAATTCGTAGTCGGCCGATCGCGGCGGAAAGAGAGCCTCCCCGCGTCCGTCGGCGCACGTCGTGCATTACGTATACAGAGACGCGAGCACAAAGGGCCTTCGCCGGAGCCACGGGGAGACTGATGCCCGCTTGCATGCACGACGGCTGTTCCTCCTCTGGCGTGGCCAGCCGCAGCACGCGCCGTCGGCTTGAAAGAGAAGGGCCGCGTTTACTCGGAACACGCGTCCGTCGACTTCGCTGCCGACACCCGTCGCAGCAGGCGGCAGCAAACAGCAGCAGCCTACGCGTACAGCGGCCTCTCGCATTAGCGTCACGGCCAGGGCCCGAGGTCCGACGCACCTTCGGTCATAGGACACCGTTCTCGCTCATGAGCTTACTCGCACAAACTCACTCAGACTGCGATCGAGCCACGAGTCTGAGTGAAGAAGAATGGCTATTTGGGCTAGTTGGTTTGAATTCATGGTAATAAGGACTGCAGCGCGAGCACGAAGGTGCTAGAAGAAACAGACGAAAGGCGAGGCACGGAAAGCAAAGAGGACAACACGTGTTGTCCTCTTTGCTTTGCGTGCCTCGCCTTTCGTCTGTTTCTTGTGTTGTCCTCTTTGCTTTCCGTGCCTCGCCTTTCGTCTGTTTCTTCTAGCACCTTCGTGCTCGCGCTGCAGCCCTTATTACCATGGAGTCTGAGTGAGTCCGTGTATAAGTAATATCTTGGCGAGTTTCAATCCGAGCGAGTCCAGTTGCGAAAACTTTTAGTGTGTCCGAGTCTGAGGGAGACCCGAACCCAAACGATATTTCTTGAGTCAGTTCGAGTGAGCTCCACCTCTTTTTGCCGACCTTACGCCTATGTGAACGCCTTTGAATTTTGTGTAGTACCACCGCCGCATACGTGTCAGCCCATTGACTGACATTTCTTTTTCTCTTTCTCTTCTTTCCTCTCTCTCTCTCTTTCTCATCTTTATACTCCCCCTTCCCGTTTCCCCAGCGTAGAGTAGCAAACTTGACATGTGCTTGGTTAACCTCCCTGTATTCTATACCTAGCTGTTTTTGTCCCTCCTCCTACGCCTATAGGTATTGATGTGCAGTCACCAGAACCCGTATTCACGAAATAATTTTACGGTAGGAATGTTTGTGAGGCAATATTTTGGCGAATTCTGTCACGAGCTGTTGGTAGAGGCATTCAGCCAATGAAAAAAAACGGCTATACAAAACATGTATTTCGTGAACTTTGGTCTATATTTTCGAAAGAACGCGGAAAAAAAGACGTGCTGGCACCTGAAGTTCGTCCCACAAAATTTATCCGCGCTCAGTCTACACGCCCACAGAGGTCTCGCTGGCTGCGCCGTCCTTGATACAGGCTGATGTCTTTTGTTTTTGAATAAAGGAGTGCACATTACGAGGATCTGTTGCATAACTTTCTCTTATATACATATGACAGAAGTAAATGAAAACTGAAGATTGATATGATATGTGATTTGATATGCGGGGTTCTAGGTCTCAAAACTACCATTATGATTATGAGAGACGGCCGTAGTGGAGGACTCCTGCAATTTCTACCACCTGGGGTTCTTTAACGTGCACCCAAATATGAGTACACGGGCCTACAGCATTTGCCGCCTCCATCGGAAATGCAGCCGCCAGCAGCCGGATTCGATCCCGCGACCTGCGGGTCAGCAGCCGAGTACCTTAGCCACTAGGACCACCGTGCTGGGGACAACTGAAGAACTCATACATTTATTTTAGCAAACGGGAATCCTTTGCCTTAGTGACTTGCGCGTTCAAAGCTCTCGATTAACCTTTTGACAATAGAAAAGGGAAGTCGTTTGCGACCGACACTTGGCGCAGTGTTCGGGCGCAGCGGTTTGTCTTAAAACGTAAGTTGCACAAGAAACATTTGGAAGCGTTCTTGATCTAGTGGTAATATGACGGTGAAGATTTCGGCTGCTGACCGGGAAGTCACGGGTTGGATCTAAGCCGCGGTGCTCACGAAATTCTAGAGGCCAATGTACTGTGCGATGTCGGTGCAGGCTAAAGAACACCACATGGTCGAGATTTCCGGAGCCCTCCACTGGGACGTGTCCATTAATCTTATCGTAGTTCTGCCACGTAAAACCTCGTATATTATTAGTACTTAACGTTGCAGATTGAACACTGACGCGCAGTTGTCGTTGTATTGCGCGCCTTGCTTCGACCCTGCGAAACTATTGCTTGCGCTTCGTGCTCCAGTCATGACCTATCGCTTTCTGTTGATTACAGAGTTGCCAGTGTGAATGGTAAATGGGGGTGCATACGTCACGCTTAACGAGTTCGCTTTTACGACGCTCGCTGCAGCCGTCTGGGCCGTCCCGACGCAGCCGCAGCGGTACAGAAGGCAGTCCCCACTCTTCGGCTTCAGCGGTTGCCGAGGCAGAGGCCGCAGGAAGTGTGCCTTCAGGCCGGAGCTGGACGAGCTGGAGCCCGTGGTCACCGTGCTCGAGATCATGCGGTGGCGGACTGGCCTACCAGACGCGGCGCTGCCTACGAAGGCCTCCAAGGTGAGTAAGTGTGACGTGTACAGTCGTGAACACGCTGAGCGCGGCGGTGTTATCAGAGACACCTATCTATTCCAACGCGAGGCTTGGCGCGGCATGCGCGGTGAGTTAGTGGTGGAACTATTTAACCATCACGTGCACCACGTCATTTGAGCGCACCTGCACCGAGGGCGCTCACCGTTGAAGTGATGCGCATGACAGTAAATAATCCATGCCACAAACGAACTGCGCATGTGCGGAGCTTCAGCGTTCGTATAAGCAGGAGTCGGTAAGTAACCCTGCGCGACGCATTCCCGTAGCGAGATCGTACCTGTATGGTTGATCGATCTGCTTGGGAAAATGAGATGTGTGAACAGAAGAAACAGGCAAAACAGGTAAAAAACAATCTAACCCTGCAGTATCAACGAGTCCGGTAACAAGCTCTACTTGGGCAGCTCACCACACAAATGCCCTTGATTTGTGGGCTCAAACTGTCTGAATCGATGCTTTGAGCCAATAAGTTGTGCTGCATGCGGCGACACGGGCAGTCCGTGGTCTTGCACGACGAATTGGCGAAACCCCTCTAACGGCGTTCGTTTATCCATCTCTTGACCGGGTTCCTGACAGCGTAGAAATTGTTGAAGGGTTATATGGGAAGCTTCTGTAGACGCAAAGTTTGTAGTTATCTATACGGAATTAGAACCCGCTCACAATGACTACCAATAATTTAGAATGAAACACTTGTCGACGAATGAGCATGCAAGTTTGCCTTTATAATGCAAGAGCAAGGATATACTTACTTGAATCATTCATTAATCTGTTTAGCTGAGCCAGTTTGAACTGACTTAGTGAATTCTAATACTAGCGAAACTTCACTACAGACCACACAGAAGACAGAAAGAAGGAATAAAGTCCTATGGGCTGTATATACACCAGAGACCGAGATGGAGAAGCTAGCGCGCGTGAAGAACCATCTTTACATCCGCTTGCACAGGCTTCCTCGAGGATGCACTGCGCGTCGCATACTCGGAGCCACGAAGTCCAAAGCTCTGCTCCACCAGAAAAGAATAGTCCTCGCGATTACCAGCGGCATTAGTAATCATGACGCCACGCTTATTTAATCAAGGCTATAACGCGCAACGAAGCCAGTTCGTGATTGCGAATGTAAAATAGCAAAACGCGACGGTCGTCCCCGACTTCCGCCTGCGCCAAGTAACAGATGTACTTATTAGGGTCGACCCTTCCACTTTTTTTTTTTCCTTTTGCCTCAGTGCAATGGAACGCATTAACCACTTCTCTAGCGTTTATAAAAACGAGCGGCGTTTATGGCGCCCGTCTAGCAACGCTGAAAGTGAAAGAACGTCGCCGGTTCCGCACGATCCGGGCCTGCGCGAGCGACTCGAGTGTGTCCAAAGGGTTGCCCCTTTGGCCCGCTGCTCGTGGTTCACGGGCATCCTTCTTCATCAAGGGGCGCGGCGCCCGTTGCCGGCTGCCTTCCTCGAGAAGGAAACCCTCGCCCACAACGAGACTGGGCGAGAAACTTCTTGTGTCGTCGACCCGCCTATAACGCATAGGTTGGCAAAAGGCGCAAGTCACGGCCTCGATTCCTCACACCAACGCAATTAGGGCCCGTGAGCGGGTTATGCGTGCTGGAAGCTGAACGCCGCGGGAAGAACATCACGTTCTCGACAAAGGAGTATAGCCGGTGTTTGGCGGAGCTGCTTTAACGGCGGAGTCCTTGGCAAAAGCTCTTGAAAGTTCGCACAAAACTTTCGTCTCGCAGCGACGCTTTGGAGCCTTGCATAGCACAGCATAGCTAGGAGGAGGAGGAGGAGGAGGAGGAGGAGGAGGAGAGAGAATAAACCATGGCGTAGGCTGTATTGGAAAATTGTGGTAGTTGCGAGCGCCCATTTCGTTTCTGGTGCTTTGAAGAGCCGATGTACGTCATCCTTTTATTATACGGTTTCGCTTCTAAAGCGACGCAACCCAACCGAGACGAGGCGTGGCAGGATAAAATGTATACGCGTGATGTGCTTCTATGGCTGCGTGGGACACTTGTCCCTCAGATCAGAAGAAAAGAAAAAAGTGATGGCTCTTCATCCTCGCACTGATAAGGTCGTGACCATCGGCTCACGAGAAATGTGCAGCCACTCATATACCAGCAGTATATGACAAGAGCTATAGCACGCAGTGAAATAGCTTGTAGGAAGAAATGACGTCCTCGCTGTCGTGCCACCTTCGTTATTTACGAGTCGGGACGTATAGAGTCGTCTATAACTTGCATTCTCCATAAAGTTATAGAGGAGGCCGTGATCAGGCATTCTCGCAGTCCTTATGCGCTGCACATACAGGTATACCTGCTGCATGCCTTCGGTGTCCTGTATAACATCGAAAGAAGGCTAGCGCATTTTTTTTTTTCAGCCACGGCTCTCGCATTGCATTCGCAGGCATCGACGCGTGCGAAACAGCAAGAAGGCTGGCCGCTGTCGGGGTCCAACCCAGCGCTACCGAATCTGCGGCGTTGAGGTACGTCAGAAGATTTTTTACTAGCAAATTTTTTGGCTGACTTCTGAGCGGGGCATTCCAGCGCATTACGGCAGTTTTAACGCGATAGCGCTATAGAGCTCGTGTCGCAGAAAACCCTCCGCCGGCGTCCGCCCCGTTGGTTGTGAGCGAAAAATTGTCTGTGTGTCTGTGACCAAAAAATCAGGTTACCGAGATAGCCGCGGGAGGCCGCTACTTGTCCACGCGCGCGCGTGTGGTCACACTGAGAAAGTCGCGCATTCGAAGAAAAAAAAAGTGCTCAATTTACGAGGCGTGGTAGTTTTTTTGCCCTGCCACCCCTCCCTGCTTAGCTTCCAGCCTTTCGTCGGGACGAGAGAAGAGATAATGCGATTGCAGCATGCAACAAACCTTTGTAACTCCATTCGCACTGGACGGATTTTTAAATTTTTGCGGCGTTGAATTCGTGAGGCAATAAGCTCTTCTAGTGAATTCATTCCATGGTTACTTGAAAAAGTGTTTCAGGGCCCCTTTAACGCATTTTGTTCGACAGGTGTCACGACGTAAACGAGCTTATGCGGCGATAATAGCGCGCGCTAGTCCAATCTACTGTGTGCGTGTTTGTGTGTGTTGTGTGCGGCGCGCGCGCGCGCGCGCGCGCGCGTGGTGTGTGTGTGGGTGTGTGTGGTGTGGTGTGTGTGTGTGTGTGTGTGTGTGTGTGGTGTGTGTGTTTGTGTGTTTGTGTGTGTGTGTGTGTGTGTGTGTGTGTAACAAAACATATGAATAAGTATGCACTTAGAGGTTGAAGGGTGCTCTAGGGGCCGGATTTTGCTATCGCGTTCAACTATTAACGGTGAAGCTTAAGGGTCCCCCAAATTTTTTTCTCTTCTCTTTGGTGCATTTTGGATCAAGAGGTGAGACTTCTAAGGTCGTTCACAATAGCGTTGTTCTATGTATTGCACTGTCCGTAAGCGGCGACATTTGAAAGTGTGCTGCTGTTAATCTGGTCATGTGCGGTGGCGTGCGGTCTTCTCTTCGCGTTAAATGGAGATATTGACGATATCGCCCTTCTATTTAACTATAGTTAAATCTGAATGTCTGAAATGTCTGAATTTCTATCCTATAGGCTAGAGATTCAGACATTTAAGAAAGAGCAGGAGCGTTCAACAGGTAGTTTAGTTTTAGGTGAAGGGAAAAAACTCGCAGCTTTACGTCGTATATGTAGTGTCCATTCGTCATAACATATCCAAGTATTTTCTGTTCTACACAACGGTAACCAAGTTCTAATAATTACATGTAAACAGTCATAAATAGCATTCTCATGTCGTATTCACCACTTGTCTGTGCATGTTACCCTGATATATTGCATGAATAATGATGGCAGTATTAACTTTCTGATAGCGTGGAAACCGTTCCTGCTATGGCGCGATTGATATCGTGCATGAGATGTCCATCCGTATAGAAACAACAGTGAATAACAAATTCCATCTGCGTCGTAATCATCATTCTAATTTGCTAGTATAACGCTATGCCACGACAAGGTTTTCAACACTGTGTGCTAGCTTGTTCCTGTTAAATAAATGTTTTTGAATTCCTTAAGCGGAAGAATAGTTGTGTTCCAGTGTATTAGCAGCAGTAATTTTTGCTATCTGTTGCTTCGCGTAGGTTAATGTTGGACCCATTTCTATACGCTCCACCCGCTATCACTGGTGTCGACACGGTTGTGACTGACCCATAAAATGCTCGTACACAAAGCCGTTTTCCTTATTTTTTTTTTGGTAAGTTCGTACTTCTCATTTGTTTACGTCCTTACATTTAAGATGATGACCACATTAACATATATCCTTAGTACTCCGCTCACCGCCATGTCAAAATATAATGAGGTAAATAATTGTTTTGGTTGCATAGCTCACATATAAACTTTTTTTATAATTTGAACACCGTATATTGTTTATGTCTCGCATTCATTCATTTATTCTTTTTAGTCTTACATATTCCTTATTTGTTTTGAATTCTCTTTTTTCTGGACCACCGTAGCCGTGTAACACAAGCGATATCGACTCGAGACAAGAGCAGTGCTCTGCCTTCGACAACACGAGTTTCGGAGGAAAGAAGTACGTCTGGAAGAAGTTCCTCAAGGGTGAGTAGTTACTCCTATAACGTAGTCGCAGTTGTAAGCGCGCATGTTGGTTGCGTTAAACAAGTCTGTGGTAAATAACTGTCCCCACAGTTTCTGGCAATGTTCGAAAATGTCTTACGTATTTTGTTTGTTCCGGAGTGAGTAGAGATGTTTCAAGTGTCTGCGAAAGCTAGTGTGTATACGCTCGGAAACATTTCCACTTTGGCATAGCAGCCTAAACTAATTCCTAATGCTGTTTTGGAAAGCCTATTTCACAACTCTCACGAAAAAAAAAAACTCCTTCTGTGAGTTGACCCGAGGATTAGATTACCGAAAATTTTCAAAGAGGAGATTAATTTGTGAGAATAATTTGCAGGTGCTTATGTATATTAGAGGAAGATATCCTTTTCATCATCTCATACTCACGCAAGCATAAACTCTGCATGAAACACGTTTGTGTTCTAAAATAAAAGGAAACAAAAAACAAAAAATAGCGATGCCTAGCAGCTGGTAACACACGATAGGGAAATGTCACATACTTCACCTAGCGTAGACCATGAATGCAGTGACAGCTTCATGTACTTATACAAGGGTCCAGATTCATGAAGCTTATCTTTCCCGAATTGTCATCACCGATAGCCACTTAGCTTGCTTCACTAGTAATGCGTTCAGAAAACTGATGAACTGAAGTTTTTTTTTATATATATAACGAACAATTCGTGCACACGATGATAGTGTGAATAAAGGCGTAGGATGTCAGTACCAGTTCCGGAACAGTAGGGCCGAGCTAAAGAATGTTTTTGTTAGTAAAAACTGCCTGCCACTGACAGGTCGTCTTCGCCACCATCTCCAGTCTCAAGGCTTGTTGCTCTTTCCTCTTACGTGCAATATAGGTGCATAAAAATTTACGCGCAACGCGGAGATTCTGTTCTGAAGAGGTATGCTGTTCTCCGTTAATTAATAGCTAGCACTTCGAAGATGGTTTTCAGTTTTTGGCGTATCTTTTGGATACTGGGGCTGAACGTTACGTAACATGACATATTTCGACAACAACGTCAAATGGGGCCACAGAGGTTATGAACATATCCTTTCGATACCTGATCTGAGCGTCACGTAGCACGACATGATTTCAGACCAACATTAAGCGGGCCCACGTAGGTTATGAGCATGTCTTTTCGATACTGGAGGTTAGGGTTACTTAACGTGACATCTTTCTAGAGCAACGTTAGATTGCGTCACGTAGGTTAGGAGTCTCACTTACGGCAAGTCGACAAGGCAGCCTCCTGCCATCACGGAAATGCGCCTACCACGCTCTAAACAAGTTTCAGACATGCAGGAAAGCATGTGGAGCGATGCGCGTGTAAGGAACAATGGAGCGGCCAGCGGGGGAAGCATGTTAGTCAGTGCGCGGCGGCCTTGCTTGAGGTCTCGCAACCCTAGCCGCCTCATGCCGAGCGTTCGGAGAATCGTAAATTGACTCGGAGCCCCCCTCTACTTTGCTCGTTTATGCTCTCCGTGGCGTCCTCTATCGGTCAGAGAGGGTGCGAGCGCTGGTTCCGGTCGACGACTCGCTCTTATCAGCTTGAGAGCGCGCCGGGCTCGAAGCCATCTTGGCAACACGCCACTCGCTTGTTTCGGCATTGCGCCTCAATTGGTCCATGCACTTTCTTTCTTTTTTATATTTATGAACTATGTGCGGCGTCTCTTGTGCATGCTGAGAGTACAACGCACACCCACACGGGGCGAGCAATTCATCTGAGCTATTCAAGTCCACCCACTTGCGACACGCGTTGCAAACCGGTGCCAACACTGTCGATCGATTATTCCCCTTCTATACGAACGAAATGCCTGACCCTGACCCCCCCCCCCCCCCCTTATTGCGAGCGGAGAACATCCCAGCTGTGTCATGGCCGGCGCCCCTAAAGCAGTATTTGTGTTTAAAATGTCAAGCTTAACACGTGGCACCAAGCATCAAACGAAGAAACTCTCATATGAGGTCCAGATTACGCCAGTCATTTTGTTTCAGCCATGGCTGCGTTTTGCTATACTGTGGAAATACAAATAAATGTACTCACTTGAACATATATAGTTCGAACGTTAAGCCTTCAAGCAACTATTCATTTGACACACAGTCATGGGTACATTTTAACATACGGTGTAGTAGCGCAAATTCGACGGGGACACAAGGGACGAGAAAACACGACACACGACGCTTGCGCTACTACACGGTGTGTTAAAATGATGTCTCGCCAACTATCCCAGCTCTTAACCCTACAGAGTCTAGGTACACCACACTATAAACCCTCGTTTCGACATCAGTAAAACAAATTGAATCTCCAACATCGCGCAGCTGAGCCAATTTGCGTGTCTCTTTCAGCCGGCGTGCCTAACCATTTAGGCGTCCTGTCACACGCGTGGTCTGCGCTGGATCCGTCGTTTACGAACACGTCAGCCGACTACGAACCACGACGAAGACGCAAGCGCACAAGGGCAAACAGTCGCGTCGCTTTTGGTCAACGAGACGAGACGATGCGCAGCGCGCCGACATCTTCCCGGTCGAGCCGCGAAATATGCGACCCTCGTGCCAAAACAAACGAGACCCCTTTAACTATAGACACATGCCCGTACTTGGAAATCGCCTCAACAAGCGTCGATCGTTGTCGCGAAATCCGTGCCAAAGGAATGTCAGAGACACACGCACTGCAGGCCAATCATTTAGGCAATATCGTCGTCGGTAACACCCTTCTATATTTGCAATGCGAGACGTCTGTGGTCTCGTTTAGAAGTCCAACTCGCTGGACATATTGCCTTGTCGGTAACACCACGTGGGGTTTGGCTTTGCCTACAGAACCCGTCGACTGCCAGTTGCATTGTCAGCCGATGGGCCATCGCGTCTTCAGCACAGCTGGCCAAGCTGATTAGAGACGGAACCCCCTGTTCGACTGGCCTGGATGATCGCGTCTGCGTCGCTGGCAGCTGCCTGGTAAGTGTATACGTAGTTAGCGTCATACTGAACTCTAGCGTGTTTACGCCTCTTTAACTAAGAGCTCGTCTCTCCTTTGCGCAACTGCTCGGAGTATCCCGTGGAGGCGTAGTGCGGTTTCAGTTATTTCTCGGCGTTCGAAAACATCCATGCGTCAACTTGACCGTCGCTTGACGTGTGGCGCGCGGAGGCCATCTGCCGCTCTCGGGAACGCTCGCAGCGAGCGGTTAATTTGGAAAGCGAGAGGCTGCCAATAAACGGCACCCGCGGCGCTGAGTGTTGAGCAAAGGTACGTGACGTGGACGGTACTGAAGCACGTGCGCTAATTATGAGTGATGATGGCTTGATTAGCCTAGAGACGGCATCTGCCGCTGGCGAAGAAAGTGGAGCTTTATGTTCGATGCTCGAGTAGGGTGCCTTCTTCCGGAACAGCCTGACGTGTACGCCTCATTTGGCTGGCAGACGCCATTTGTATAATACAAGGTCGGAGACCACACGCCGAGCATTCCGAAATATATCTTCCGGGTTCTTTAATTACGAATATACCAGAAGTAGCACGGGACATCTGCTCCGAGTGTGTAAGCCTATTAAATTGCTTTGCGTCTCATAAAAAATGTCTCATTATAAATAGATTGCCGTGCCTGATTTTCTTTTGGTAATGTTTATCAGTATTGAGCCGAAAATAGCGTTTACAAAACTGAAGAGCATATCATTCTTTCCTTTCCTCGATACCTGAGTTTTATACTTCCCGTTAATCCACACGAATATTGACGTCGTTTGGTCTATATACTTTAAAGTTGACATGCCGCCTCGGCAATCAATCGCTTTTCTCCCCTCAGTATTAGCTCGCGCGAATGCAAGAACATGCATTCGAACCAGCCAATCACAGTGGCAATCGAGGTAACTGACAAAATGCCCAGCAAAAGCAGGCCTTGCGCGCGGGAACGTGACATAAGCTAGACATGTTATCGCATTATAGAACCTGCTTCGTGGTCTGTTAGTTTTAATTAAAGCGATACTTTGATTCATTACCGTTTTGACGTTCATTTACTGCACCTGCAGTAATCAGCAACGGGTTGGAAAATAAGTTGCAGCTCACTGAGTTTCACTCAAGAAATAAATTTCGCTCTATGAGCTTGCGCGGACTCACACTCACTAAAATTTTCCTCAACCGGACTGACTCGGACTCAAAACTCACCAACATATTACTCAGCCGGGCTCACCCGGGCCCAGACTTATGGCTTGACCAGAGTTTGTTTGTTTGATTGATTGATTGATTGATTGATTGATTTGTGGGGTTTAACGTCCCAAAACCACCATATGATTATGAGAGACGCCGTAGTGGAGGGCTCCAAAAATGTCGACCACCATGGGGTTCTTTAACGTGCACCCAAATCTGAGCACACGGGCCTACAACATTACCGCCTCCATCGGAAATGCCCAGACTTATGGCTTGACCAGAGTTTGATTGATTGATTGATTGATTGATTGATTGATTGATTGATTGATTGATTGATTGATTGATTGATTTGTGGGGTTTAACGTCCCAAACCCACCATTTGATTATGAGAGACGCCGTAGTGGAGGGCTCCGGAAATTTCGACCACCTCGGGTTCTTTAACGTGCACCCAAATCTGAGCACACGGGCCTACAACATTTCCGCCTCCATCGGAAATGCAGCCGCCGCAGCCGGGATTTGAACCCGCGACTTGCGGGTCAGCAGCCGAGTACCTTAGCCACTAGACCACCGCGGCGGGGCTTGACCTGAGTTTGAGTGAGCCTTAGTAAGCCTGAATTAGTCGATTCGCGAGTTCGTTAGCGTATAATTTCGATCGTGTTGTCAACGTTCTTCAACGCCTATATATAACATAATCGGTGCTATACCCCGTACTTATTGGTCTTCACTTTCAAATACCTCGTACCTTCAATCGTACCTTCAAATACAATTTATCTCCGGTTTCAATCGAGTAAGGACATAAGGACGTTTTTATGAAATACGTGACTCACGTCAGACATTTCTTATTAAGAACTTCCCGCGAACTTGAAATTTTGCGGAGGACGTCGTGGTACCCTTTTCTCTTGCCTTTTTTTTTTTTGTTTCATTTGTATGAAACCTTACACGCAAAGTGTGCATATAGATGGCGACTGATTGCAGCCGCTGTGGCGCTAGTTCTGCACGAGGGTGTCGCTCCTCCTGGACAGTCCCTGGCAACCATGGTAACATACTGGACAAAGAATAGTTAATGTCGCTGCTCATCCCTCTCGCAGCCCGTAGGCTGCGACGGCGTGGTGAGTTCGCGGCGCATCGCCGACCTGTGCGGTGTGTGCGGCGGCGACAACTCGACGTGCCGGACCTTCTCTGGCCTACTGACGCTGCGCAGTCTGTCCAAGGACTACGAGGTGATCGCGGTCGTGCCCAGGGGCGCGGCCAACCTAGTGGCCACGGCAGAGGGAAACAGGCTCGGTGAGGGGCAAACGTTGCGCTTATGAATAGAACGTTGATTAAAATTGTTGATAACATTTCAGTATAGGTCATCACACGTGAAAACCAAGCATAATTCTATATCAACTGAGCTTGATTACGCTTTTTTATATTTATCATTTTTAGAAGGAGGCTAAACATGAACGTTGCCCATCATCGGCCTAACATATCAAAATATGCTAACTGGCTAATCATCCTGAAATTTACTACTAAACTCCTCAGTTTTTGTAGAGCACAATTTTACAACTTGTGACTCTGCTAAGTGCGCTAGTCTAATCCGCTAACTGAAATTGATTTCTCGGGACGGCGCCTTTACAACATGTGCGATCTGAAAACGTATGGCATATTGGTTGTTCTCATTGTTCTTGGTCTTCATTACAATAACACCACAAATATTACTTAGCTTTTATGCACTTACTATATACCTGGTCATTATTTGTTAATTGATTGATATGTGGGGTTTAACGTCCCAAAACCACTATATGATTATGAGAGACGCCGTAGTGGAGGGCTCCGGGAACTTCGACCACCTGGGGTTCTTTAACGTGCACCCAAATCTGAGCACACGCGCCTAAAACACTTCTGCCTCCATCGGAAATGTAGCCGTCGCAGCCGGGATTCGAACCCGCGACCTGCGGGTCAGCAGCCGAGTACCTTAGCCACGGTGGGGCTGGTCATTATTTGTAATACATATTACTTAGCCTCTATAGAGTGACTATATACAAAGTCATTGCTCGTAAACGAGAGAGGTGGGCATGATTGATTGATTGATTGATTGATTGATTGATTGATTGATTGACAGCCGTGAAGGATGCCGAGACAGGCCGTTTCATATTGAACGGCAACGCCAGTGTGTGGGAGCCTGCAGGTGTATACGTAGGCGCCGGCACCCGATTCCACTACCGAAACCGCACAGGCTCACAGACCCTGGAAGCCAGAGGACCCCTCGCCAGACCCGTCCACCTCATGGTACTGACAGCACGTGCATGTCGCTGTTCTACATGCTATCAACGCGCATAGAACAAAAATCTCAATGATAGACCCAAGTTTCCCGTACTGACGTAAGAATTAAGACTAACGTGAATGGTCTCCTAAGAGAGAGTACTTGAAAAAAAAAACGGAAAAAAAAATAAAGAAAACGAACCCTGACATGACACTACAGTGCGTTGCGGTTCTGGTATTTTTTATTTTACTTACGTTTGCGTTGTTACCGTCCCGATGGTCTTAAAACATCAAAAAAGTACCGTGCAAGACTTTCGTTGGATGATGAAGGCATGCTTTTTTCAAATAAGATAAAAGCAAAAAAAAAAAACCACAATCACCTATTTTCTGCACAACGATGAAATGGTGGTTACTCTTTAAAATACAGGTAGTGGATAACTTCAAGCTGCCGCTTCTCGCAGTGTCAAACATGAAGCATAATGTGAAGGCTTGGCGAGGCTGCCATTAAATTACGTATGCCTAGGCAGCGAGTATCGTGTTGACTTTAGGGAAGCGTTCATATGTTGGGCAAGTAGACTTTTGACATCGAATTAAAATCATCGCACAACATTCATATTTTCACCTCGCGTATCAAAAAACATTTTCTTCGGGAATTGATGAAATCGTTTGATTTGTATATTTAGCTGTTGGTAGTTTTCAACAGTTCAGTGGTAGTTTTATATTAGCATTTGCCTTTCTACAACTTACGCAACTGATGGAAATGTAGTTACGTTTGTCACGTGCAGTTCTTTAATTTTGCTTTGTTCTAGTTTTATCTACTGCTATCGATAACTTTATGTCTAGTCTTATTAGTAGTATTACCATCGTGTTATGTAATAATTGTATTGTTGCTGTTAATTAAGCTCATTAGTCTTTGCTCACAAATTCGCACCTTTTGCTGTACCTTTTTTGTAATTACCCATTCATGTCGCCATAGGAGGTCCCCCGTCCGTTTCTACGAAACTTTGGGACCGCCTCCTGTACTATTCCAACCATATAACCAAAAGTGAAATATGTGATAAACTTGACTTGATATGATATGATATGATATGATATGATATGTATAATGCAATGGAACTAGACAAGAGACAGAAATACAAACACAGCTGCAAATCAGTTCAACCAGTTAATCTAATTTGGCGCATGTGTGCTCCTTTTCTACTGGCGCATTCCGTCGCGCTACACACGATGAATATCATGTCGACATCAGGGCAACAACATGACCTACTCACAGCAAGTTTTACCATATGCACGGTTCTACAATGCCTCCTTACCCTACTTCTTTTTTCTGCTGTCTGCCTGCGTGGTTTAATGGCCGCAGTTTTGTGCAGTTGGTGTTTCGCAGCCCCAACTTGGGTGTCAAGTTCCAGTACAGCGTGAGCAGCCGCGTGGCCAACAAAGGCGCACCCCCTTCGGCGCCGGCGGACGAGTCCGCACCCGGTGGACAGTTCCTGCGGTCACGCGCGGTGCTTGAAACGGGCCCTTTCCGCTGGCAGGTGGACTTCACTTGCAGCAAGTCCTGTGGCACAGGTGACGTTGGCTAGCTGACCATCAACACAATTTCTATAAATAATTCATTCATTCATTCATTCATTCATTCATTCAATTAATAAATGATTAATTAATTAATTCATTAATTAATTAATGCTCCTTTTCGAGATGGATTTATTAACAATATAATATCTTGCATGCAGTCGTATGTCAGCGCAAATTATGCTACACGCAGTCAATATCTAAAAGCAAAAACTGCCCGCAAGAGGCAGCTTGAAGGGTGAGGGGTTGCAGTATTGCCTTTCTATATATGCAACGAATGGTTGTTTTACTCGCGACAAGATGACGCGAAAAGCGGCTGTGGTTGCTTTCACTCCCACTTGAACGCGCTGTGTTCAGACCGCGCACTCGCTTGTTTCCTTTCATAAAAAGTGACAGTAGACATTAGCCTCGCCTTTTTTACCGATAGAAGAAGCAGACTTGACCTGAGGATCACTAACCTTTAAAACTGGAACTAGAGTGATGTGACAATCTGTTTAACGTGAGGATTTATGAGTGCTAAAGAAGTAACTGTAACCTTTAACCAAACCGTTCCAAGCAGACTTGACCTGAGGATCACTAACTTTTAAAACTGGAACGAGAGTGATGTGACAATCTGTTTAACGTGAGGATTTATGAGTGCTAAAGAAGTAAATGTAACCTTTGACCAAACCGTTCCAAAGCAGTGAATCCGGATACTCCACAAATTCACAGGGATCAAGCAGGCTGTGGTCAATTGCGTGATTTCGGCCACCGGAGCGCCAGTGCCTGATGAGTACTGCTCCAGCCTTCCCCATCCCCGGACTCCGGCGAGCCAGCCGCAACAACTGCCGTGCAATACGCAGCCCTGCCCTGCTGACCGGTGGGTGCCACTCGGTTTCCGGCTCCCGTCTCGGTGCCTGGTTTGTCGAGAGTCACAGAGAGTGGGGCTCTCAGAGCACGGGATTCAATCCATGGCGGAAAGAAAAAGAGAAGAGGGAGCATTATGTCGCGGATACAGCCTTGGCAAGCCTACCCTCTTTGAAGCCAGTAGTGCTTCAAGATCACGCTAGCGATGAGATTTGCCGAGACTTCAGGGTATGGTACCCGGTAGCTTTTAGTCGAAGCACGCTGTTTCGGGCGCACACCAGCTGCCTCATGGAGGAGGTTAAAAAATGGAACGCCACCGAGAGTACTAAAACCTACCAGCACGCTCTGACGCTTTGTTCATGTGTTGGGCGGACACAGAAGGCTTCAGTCGTGTAACGTAATGCTCCATTCTTTTTTTTTTTTGCATTTCCCCGTGGTTCAACAAACCTTTACGTGTGCTAGTGCATGGGTCTGTATGTGTACATGTAGTATGCACACTGTGCATTTTTTTTAATTTCAGTAGAGAAGGGGGTATGGGGAGGGTCATTCCCATGTGTCATAGGGATTGTCACCGACACAAGAGGATTGCCACTACATGCGATGTACTCAAACCTTATTATGGCATTCCGAGTCAATGGCATTAGGTGACATTGAATCGGAAAGCACCACTGATCATTCCTCTCGCCGGCCCTAAATACGTGCTACTGAGAATGTGCCATCGCTTTAGGATACCAGACACACCCTGCTTCTTGTTAACCCCTTCTGAGAAATTTCAACATTTCCAATACAACATGGAGAAAAATAATAATATGCTGCCATTCTGCTAAACAGACGGTTTTAGTCTTTTACTGTTATTCACACAGTGGGGGGATGCAGGGACTGCTTAATTCCAATTCCTTACTTCTACAGAAAGCGTTGTATCTAGCAAAGTTGACTGCATAAGCTAGTCTATGAACGAATAAACAGACCGCTCCAAACAATAAAGAAATTACTTTGACCACTGACCTGAAATGCATCTTTAGAAAAAGGCAAACATCTTCGTGACAGACTTCTTAGTGGAGACCGGACGGGATAAGCGCTTGTGATATACAGATAGGAGTTGACATATGAGAAATGATGTGTTATTGCATATAATGTTAGTAAAAATAGAAAAGGTCTGCGTGTAAACATTTCATAAAAGTGTGAACTGCTGCAAGCAAACTGCACATTTACATGTTGTTTGACCTGGTTTCAATGTGCGATTACGTTTATTTGTTTTTGTTTGTTTGTTTGTTTGTTTGTTGCTCATTGTTCATTTTCGGTACCATTCATTTTTTTTTGCAGGACTTAACGATATGGAGTCGCTTAGGTAATAACGACTTACCTCTCGACAGCAAAATAGATAGAACAGAACAAACCAACACCTCCTCGTTGGACAGATATATTGAAAGCTGGCTTCACTGCGTACACAGGCTTAATGCAAAAAAGCTAACCTAAGAAAAAGTTTGAAGGTGCTTTGAGGGGAACTACGCCAGCAGGACCAGGAAACACCACGATCGAAGAGAAACCCAATGAAAACTTATGGTTCATTAAGCTCAGCACAGCGATAATTTAAAAAAAAACATGTGTTTAGGTAGAAACCATTGTTCTGGACACTGTACTGAACACCCGCAGGTTTAAGCTTTATTAGCTTCCCCTGTCACATATTACTTACAAGTTCTGTATTATTTTATATTTCTCCGTGACGGACTCTTTCCCCCATCAGGGACCGCAGTGGCGCCAGAGGTGACCTAGACGGCACTCCTCGGTGGCAGGTGACGTCCGATTGGTCCGCCTGCTCGGTCACGTGCGGCGAAGGTCTTCAGCGGCGCACCGTTGTCTGCGTGGGTCTGAGAGGCGGTGCACTGCGGGACTCGGCTTGCAAGCAGAGCGGCGAGAAGCCGCCCTCAGTGAAACCCTGTAAATCAAAGCCCTGCGCTACCTGGCAAGCCGGCCCTTGGGGGAAGGTACAGCGTTTGCATTGTATTTGGTTACGACGTAAAAATATAGTAATGGTGATAAGCTCGACTCAATGAGCTGTGACACACCGCCATTTCGCTGTGTGAGCCAGGTGTGCTTGCTCGTTCTCGTTTGAAGTCTTCTTTCTCTGCTAATGTAAATATTACGAGTATCTTCGATTAGAGGTTCGTCGTTCCTGCCTAAAATATTAGGCGTGACCGAATGAGAATGATGTCCGAATACCTCATGATATTTATCAGGACTTGAAAATTTCTTAGCTCGAACCAGTGACACGAACGTGTCTCTGAAGTGGTCAGTTACCTGAAACACGCTATAACGCAGCACAAGATAGATTGATTGATTGATTGATTGATTGATTGATTGATTGATTGATTGATTGATTGATTGATTGATTGATTGATTGATTGATTGATATGTGGGGTTTAACGTCCCAAAACCACCATATGATTATGAGAGACGCCGTAGTGGAGGGCTCCGGAAATTTTGACCACCTGGGGTTCTTTAACGTGCGCCCAAATCTGAGCACACGGGCCTACAGCATTTCCGCCTCCATTGGAAATGCAGCCGCCGCAGCCGGGATTCGATCCCGCGACCTGTGGGTCAGCAGCCGAGTACCTTAACCACTAGACCACCACGGCGGGGCAACACAGGACAAGAGGTTAATGTTGTTAGTATAGTAAACGCTATTGGGTGGATCATGCATGCAAATTACCAGTGGGGAAGATAGAGATGGTTGTGGGCCACGCTTGTACTCTTCTTTAATTGGTAACCTACTATCGTAGCATCTAAAACCGGTGTCCTGCGTACAGTTAGGCATCTGTGAACAGTGCATTCACAGTTGTATGTTTGACGTTCTGTTCAAAAAATCACTGGCCTTAGTAGCACAATGGTAAAGTTATAGCGTGGATAAGCTTGAAGGCATAGGCTTGATTCCCATCTACGGGGGAGGCGAAATCACAGTGTGGTACAGGCGAAATCCATGCACATGCATGTGCTTGCACTTGAGTGTACGTACATATCTGCAGGTGGTAGAAATTAATTCGCCTCACAATATCGTGGCTTTGACAAGTGAAACACCAGATTTACTTATTCTGTCGAAAATCGCGATTGCAATTTTTTTGCGTTTTTAATGCAATTCAAATTCTTGAGTGAATATTGGATATGATGAGCAGTGCAGTTGAAGGTCAACGTACACGCATGTGTCTACAATAGTGTAACCAGAGCGCTTATTCTGATGGCTATTTCTGCGTATGATCGTTCAGGAGCAAATAATCTAGTCGATCTTGATGCTAGACATACTATTAGAAAAAGCTGCTAATCAATCACAAAGTACACTTTCGAACGAAATGTTTTGAATGTTATCTTCGGTCTGTAGTCAAAGTTGCAACACAATTCTTCATCCAATCAAAGTGAAATATTTTCTAGGGCAGCTGTAGTTGTGAGCAGCTTTTTTAAATACGGACAAGCGATTACATCAACTGAACAGCACGATATAAGTGAAATACCGTTGAATTCGCCAGTCAGGAATGAACGGCAAGGCAAAAAAGGAGTACATTGCACGGTAGAGCATTATACACTTTACTATGTGAGAGTTGCATGCAACTGGCCACACACTTGTGGGAGCAAAAACACAACAAGGGCGTCCGCAGATCTTCTTCCGGGGGGGGGGGGGGGGGGGGGGGCACCGAGGGGCATCCAGAACAGCTAGCTTCTCTTCCACTGTCGTGACTTGACTGGCACGAAATTTGGCTCGCAATACGTGAAGGGCACTTCACACGAATGTGAGGGACCCGAATGTGGTAGTAATGCGGTCTAACGTATCTACACAGAAAAATATTATCGGAAAGTCACGGAGTGGGGCAACAGCCCCACTCCCCTTATTGTTGTTGCTGCTTCGAACGCCTATGCCACAAGCCGACGTTAGCGGGTCGTTACTAGAGGTTTACACTGCATTAACTTTTTGTTAATAAATGTTACACTTTTATTGTCCTAGCTGCATTGATACTTCTTTATTTTCTATCTGTTTTCGCTTTACTCTTCGCTTTTCCACTATAGTGTGAGATCGTGTGGGGTAAAAAGAAGTTCCCTCTGGAAAAGGTATTGTCAAGCATGTCGCTACCAGGGAAACCTTACAAGCTTCTTTAAAGTGCTTAAGGAACACCCCACCCTTCTTTTATGCAAACATTCTTCATTTGGTTCACACTACACTTACGTTCAATAAATAAAAAGCAAGGATATATAAATATTATTCACTGACATGTCATTGAACTTACTTCCCTTGCAACAACAAATCCATGGAGGCTTAGCAGTGTTCCCTGGTACCAACATGCTTGATAATCCCTGTCGAGAGGAAACTTTCTTCACCGTGCGAAAATCTCGCACTATAGTGGAAAAGCAAAGAGTAAAGCGAAAAGCAGAAGGAAAATGAAGAAGTCTGGATCAGTGACTCTAGGGGCCGGCCTCAAGTCGGCTGCTGGATTCAGCCGATTCCTGTGCTTATTTTTCAGACAGGCTAGTGTCGCAAATGCCTGCTCGCGAGTGTTGCTGTTGCAAATGGTCCCATTGACTTATCTTCCGAGAGACCTCCGAGATTCAAGAGCAATATCTTGACCACTCGGCCAGTTTGTCGGAGTCTGGCTGGCTAGAATCTGCTTCTGGGATTTATTGCGCAGCTCACGCGTTTTTCTTATCCACTGAGATGTGCGTATTGACACTCGGGTGTGAGTAATGTAAATTCCTTATATAGATAACCAGCCGGGTTCGCCATTTGAGTGCTTGGGGGGCTCGCGGAACCCCGAGGAGAAACCTGCGTAACCCACTTTGAGAAACTATACCCTAGACATTCACTTATAAGCAGCTGGTCGCAATCGTCTTATCTGTGCCCGCAGTGCAGCAGTGAGTGCGGGAAAGGCATGCGCAAGCGAGAGGTAAGCTGTGGTCCAGGCCTCAAGGAGTCTGCCTGCAAGGCCTCCGAGAAACCCGCCACCGAACAGGTGTGCGAGATGCCTCCGTGCTCGAGCACATGGTTCTTCTCCGCCTGGTCTGAGGTACGTCGTCTCCGCTGCTGTTGTCTTGTTTTTACTTGCCATTCTCTCAGGGCCTGAGAAACAAGGTTAGTCAGAGAGTTAGCTGTATAAATGCTTGTCAGTCAGTATCTATGTTGACGTAGAGTATATGCGTCTTAGTTTCGCTTAACATGGTGTACGAAACACCGCCAAGCATGGAGTAATTTTCACGGCGTGTTGAGAATTATTACGCAGCTTGAAAGGTTTTCGGGCAATTTTTTTTCGATTTTCTATTTCATTTGTGAAATCGAAAATGTTTTTTTTAATCGATCGTCTCCTAGATTGCACAGTTTTCAAGCAAATGATCATGCTGTTACTGATTGAAAACAGCATTGAATTTTCTTGACTATGATTTTGTTTCCTCTTTGCCTATGTATAGGCTATCTAATATTTTTTCCTGCGTTCTTTTTCCTCAACCGTCCCTGTGTATTTTGTTATTTTGTATTTTTTGCAATAGCGATGAAAAATCCCCACTAAAGTCTAATTGGTATCTATAGCATTATGATTGTTGTGTATGTATTTGCATACTAGAAATAAAACTTTAATATTGCTGTATGTGTTACAGTATTTGCACATGTATCTTTGGCATTTTCTATTTTGTATTTGTACATTTTTGTATTTTTCATTTGTATCCTGCAAAATGCTTATGGCGGCCTACCTGCCTCACTGCATCTGGAGCAAACGCCCTTTGTCAGGCTTTTAGCCTTTTGCCTTCGCTTCATTTTTTGTATTGGCACGGAAAGAAAGAAAGAAAGAAAGAAAGAAAGAAAGAAAGAAAGAAAGAAAGAAAGAAAGAAAGAAAGAAAGAAAGAAAGAAAGAAAGAAAGAAAGAAAGAAAGAAAGAAAGAAAGGCTTTTGTTGTTATTGTTGTTGGTGCTGTTTTGATTTGTTCTTTGGTGGAGGTGGGGTTAAGCGTATCTGCAGCAGTACAAAACAAACAGCGCGTCCGTTTTTTTTGTTGTTGTTGTTAAGCTTATAAAATGTCCGGCTATTCCAAACAAACAATTCCTTTAACTCTGTCCCATCTTTGGTCAAGAGTACAGCCACGGCCACGTCTGTGTAGAGCACGTGAACAGCTGGTTCGTGCTCTGCGGGGTGAAACCTCGGGGCAGTATCAGGCTCTGGCGTGGTCAGCATGACAACTAGGCCGTTCATGCTCCTGATACACCACATCAGAGCCCGAAATGGCCTCAAGGTTTCGGCCCGCCGAGCGAAAACCGGCTGCTCGAGTGCTATACGCAGACGTGGCCGCGGCTGTACCTCTTAGACAAATATGTACACAGCACCCAGTGGCCTAACTGCGAATTATTTGAAAGAATGCCTTCGATTATCACGTGTTCATTGATCATGCGCTGTGGAACATGTGTGAAAATGTCACGAGCAAGTTTTTCAATACGCTTACTGACTCTATGCATCCAGTGGCACTGCACAAACAAGTCTAAGCAAATTGACTGCCAAGGAGGAACGTGCTTATACTGTACTGGTTGTCGGAACTTTGAGTACATGAACAGCTCATCGTGCGTATGTGGAGAAGTTCATCTCACCTTTTATGGTGCAGTGTTCCGTCAAGTGCGTTCCGGGTGTTCAGAGGAGACGGGTCTTCTGCGTCCCTGGACAGAATGAGTGTGACATGCTTGAAAAGCCTTCGTCCCAGCAACCGTGCCTGGAGCTGTGCACGGGAACCTGGTTTGTGGGACCCTGGTCGAAGGTGCGTTATAAATAGCATAACTTTCTTTACAATCGCGCAGTTACTTTAGAAGACAACTACAAAAGTCCCCTGGAACGTGCGGGCGCTGCGAACAAACAAGTCACGAGCGTAGCTGATGCGATCGCTAGTTGTTATAAAAATGCGCCGCCTGTTCTGTGACGCCAAAGCAACTATATATAAGCTTAGCTTGACTGAAGATTCTGCCCCATCATTTCCAGAGCTGGCTCTGAGGATGTTACAGATCTGATGCACTGTCTAACACATTACTCTTTCAGCGTACAAATAGATAGTAACGCTGTGAACAAGTTCAATATCTTCACGAAAGGCAGTGCGTAGGTAACCGTGTCACGTCCAGCGCGTTCGCCGCACGTGATAAAGGGAGGTAGAAGGATAAGATAGAAAACCTGAAATGCCACACCAATAAAAAAAAAAGGCTCGCTAGTATATACACGCACAGACCTAGCTTAAGCGCAGGTGTTCAGGAACAAGTGCGATGGTGCCAGCATAAATTCATATAATATTTTCTCTCTCGGTCAACTTGCGCACTCCTGTCTAAACGCTGGCAAAGCACCATTACAACGGCTGTTAAAATAGATTAAAGAGAGGACGTCACGCAAGGCTTGAAGTTACGGTGAATCTGTTTCTATTTCCTGCACGTTTTCGACATTATCAAGCATTATTACGTGGCACGAACTAGGGTCATAATTAATTCTTCCATCTACGCCTGCTGGCAAGTCATTCCTTTTCGCAAAGCTGGTTGCAAGTTTAATATTTCAGAACCACTGCGTTGAATCAACCTTTTTTTTATTACGACATAGACTTCCCTTTAAAACATAATATTTTGTACGTTTATGTGTATTAAATGTGTGCCATGAGGCCAGTGTTGTGTATGAAATAAAGTAGTGTCTTGTTGAATGTGTTATCATGTATCCAGTGGTCATGACTGATTGTGTCGCTGTAGCGAAGGTCGGATCGCAAGAGGTGACAGGAGTGTTCCGACTGGTACTATTGACATGCTCATGTAACGTGGTATGCATCTGCTTGCATCGCTGAAGTGGTACGGACACGTATCACCGACCAAAATGTGACTAGTTCCACAATGATATAATAGCCGGTGTAAAGGCCACCCCTGCCCGATGCCTCCTAACCACGACTTCCTCCGCCCTATTAAGGTAGAGGGGCGAGAGAGCAGACACACGTTGGGATATGAGCACATGTATCCTACCGGAGAACAGTTTTTACGGGCGCAAAGCGAGTTTCTAGGTTGAGGTGGAAGAGGAATAGCTGTATGGTCTGTAGTTGGAGGGCAATGTACCTGTTGGTCAGCACCAATATTGTGTTCGCAGCATGCATGGCCTTGAATCCAATGTACTTTCACGCAAGTAGCTGTATTACTGTTCATTTTATCAATTGCATCACCGATTTCCATCGCCTTGTGAACTTTTCGAGCTCCTAGATAGCTCCTAAGGAATCGGTGAATATGTCACTTTGCTTAATTGTAAGCAGCTTAAAGGTCACATCCTGAACTGCGTCATGAAAGGCTTGAAGTTCCATCACAAGAGGACTGGCTTCCGTAGATAGATAACGCTGGTTACCATTAACAAATTTATGCGTAGTACTCGGGAATAATGTCCTTCCGCCGTCTTGAAGAATAGCAGCATCTGTATATACTTTGCAGGTATCAACACATGGCACTTCGATGATGGAGCGTTCGTCGATTGTAGCTGATGTATTGCTGCGCCGTAACTTCGTTGTCTTATCAGATGTGATGGTGGCAAATTGCTCAGGGAGACATATAATGGTGCTGTTTGTCAATGTGAGAGCCGCGTTGAAGGTGAGCACGAAGAACCACACTATCTTCTTTGAATGGATCGCAACCCCTCCTTCTCTATTCTTTTAGCTGCTATCTGTCTATTCTCTCATCGTTTTGGTGCCTTCCGATGGAATCACGCTCAAGGTTTTGGTGTCTTTCACATGATCACTGCTGTCTTATCGTTGTATTGAAAACTTTTTTCGGTCAGCTCACGCATTACAACTGAGGACTTCGCAAGGTTATCTTCGTGCGTGCTGATGCATTCACAGTGCCTTCCCGCTTGCGGCAACGGGACGCGCGAGCGCCAGGTGCTGTGCGTCGGCCAACAGGGAGGCCGATGGACGACGGTGCTCCCTGATGGGCACTGCGGCTACACCGACCGGCCGCTCGCCTCAGGAACCATGCGACACGCCATGTGCGCCAGAGTGGCACACGTCTACGTGGAGCACAGTGAGTACCACCTAACGAAGCATATAATTCATGTCGTATAGGATAAAACCGTCAAGTATGAATGATTTATAGAAATCCTTCTGGTTGGAAGTCAATAGAGCCCCATGAAAACGCATGAAAAAAAAAATAAAACCTTTTGAGTAAAGAGACACAAAAGTAGCTTGAAAGTGTACAGAACGCCTGAATAAGCTGGCAGATTATCAGCTTACCTGCGCAGTACAGAATGAAGGGGTGGGGGAGCTCGAAATATTCATTTCTGTAGATTCCAAACGAGAAAGAGAGAGAGGTCACAAATCGAGTGAAGTTAGACAAAAAGTAATCATAACAAGGCGGGTCGCACAAGTAAACAGGGTACTTATATAGCTACTTGGATGTTAGGTGTTACGTAGATAAAGGAAAGTACCAATCTATCAAGTCACATAGTACTAAGGCAGTATTACTATACGATTTGTCCCTGCTGTCGCAATGTACGCAGCATTTCGAAGGAAAACAAGTATAACGTCGCTCACGGGATGATGTAAGAATGTTTCAAACTTCTTTTATCTGTTGGCGCAGTGTTCGACATCGTGCGGCGGCCGGGGCAGCCAGACGCGCCAATCACTGTGCTTGGACGTTAACGGGAGAGTGTCCAGCGTCGAGACATGCTTGGAGTCTTCGAGACCTTCGGCCAGGCGTCCGTGCGGCCTGTCCGCGTGCCCCGCGGAGACGGCCGAAGAGCGCGGCTGTCGGGACACCCGAAATCGCTGCGCGCTGGTGGTGCAAGCGCGGCTCTGCAGTTATTCCTACTTCCGCCAGGGGTGCTGCGCGTCGTGTCGCCGCGCCGGCGCCAGCCACGCTCCGACCGATGAGAACACAGCCTGAGTCAGGGTTCTAATCCACGAGTTGGAGCTTTTTCTCGAGGTCCTCGATACGCGTGTCTGCTGAGAAACGTATCCAGCAGACAAGACTCCCCGGGCAAGAAGAGTACCGTCATTTTGCCAGCAGGCACCCTGCAACGATGCGTTACTCACGCACTCGAACTTTTAACCCAATTCCGACACCCCTGTACATAGGCGCTCCTACCGTGATTTGTGAGAGGATCCTTCTTCTAAATGGTTCTGTTCGTCTTAGAAATGCCCCAGGTGGTCAAAATTTCCGGAGCCCTCCACTACGGCGTCTCTCATAATCATATGGTGGGTTTGGGACGTTAAACCCCACAAATCAATCAATCATCTTAGAAATGCTACAGCACACGCGGATGGGTAAATTCACACCGTATGACCGGTGCTGTTTGCTTTTTTTTTCTTCTTCTAACCCCGTCTGTGTGCGCTGTTACGTTTCTGAGATGCGATACGAACAAGCCCCACCAAGCCATCCTCTGCAGTGCTGTCATCAGATAAGAGGAAACCGTTTAACGCAGAGAATTCGATGGTGGCAAGCATCGAGTCTGCAATCACCGAATGGGGATATATGTTCATTCACTCGAGCTGCGTCATCGACGCTTTGGCTTATCTCACTGTCACGTGATCAGCCAGAATTGACTCGTCTTGGCACTTACTTGCCAGCGAACGTAGAATAGGATATGTGTATAACTGGCTTCGTTGGCACTGGTTGTTTCTTGCCTTGCCGATACGTAGAAACAAAGCAGTTTTGTTTATGTATCTAGGTTGCGTAAAGGTATACGAAAAAAAGTATCCTCAGTTGGTGGTGTAGGCACGGGAGAGTTGCTTTTGTCATGCTTCTCTGGTGCTCAGACTACGCAATCGACTTTTGACAGTGACGGGCTGCTGAGTCTGGCACATATGCTGCATAACTCGGAATGGAAGCGAGCTAATTGCAGTGCTGAGTGCTTTTCTTTGTATATAAGTATACAGGTACTAGATATTAGCGGAAACAGCCTCGTAATCGCAGATTTCGTTCATGTTATGTTCATGTGTGGATGCATTTAAAAGAAAATAGGCACGTTGCCCTCCAGCATAGCGAAAAGAATCATTTCGTTACTCGTTCCCTTGTTCACCTACCACTTTATGGCAATATTGCCAAGGGGGAAAAGAAATGGTCGACTTTCATTTTCGTTCTTCTTGCGAATTCAGCACCAACCCTGGATTAACCGCCTCATGTTGTGCGAATGTTGGTCTACCTGCGTGTAGTGTTATATAACGTCAAATTGCGCAAAACAGCTTGCATCCTTTGAGGCAATAAGATACCGATGTACTTCTATAAGGGGACCGCTGCAGTGAAAAAAAAAAAAAAAACTCGATACAGCATGAGACAGGGAAACGAACAAACACATGCAGCGACGTTTTTGAAGGCAAGGTGAAAATGCAATACGACGAGTATCTATTCACTTGTACCGAACAAATGAAATCAATTTATGTATGCGTTAATATAGGTAGAAAGCGTGTCGAATGTTTCTAATCGCGATGCTTAATGCCGCATCATGGGAATACAAATTTTAAAAAAAAAGTGCTGTAACATTTTCGTGAGTGTCAAGCAATTTTATCTAATAGCAGCCAACAGGCGCTTCACCTTTTTTTTTTATTTGGCTGCGTTAATGACACACAATACTTTCTAAAAAACACAATGTTTTCCTTAACCTTTTGCGACGCGAGAAACCACTGTTGTTACCAAGCCCATAACGAATGGTTTTTCTTGACGGAGCTCATGTTCTAAATGTACCTCTCTGCTTTGAAAGCGTTCACCTATTACCACAGAAAACAGTGATCAAAACAGGCTTTTCGTAACCGATCTACAATGCCGTTCCCTCGTGAGTGACTAACTGCAGTATTCGAAGCTAATACCCGCTGCCACATTGCGAGCGTTCTAGGACCACCGTATGAGCGAACACTGCCAACAAATCATTGCTTTATAAATAATTTTACGGTATAGGTTTCAGTGCCACTATTTTATGCTAACCTTGCAGTTTGGTAGCTCTAAAAAATAAACTAACGGGCGTTGCAGTATACACAAGCGCTTATAAATGGCTGGGTTGGTACATTCGACGTTTTATGACCTTATTTATTTACTTCGCGATAAGCAAATATATTAAAACATTCGTTTAACAGGCCCAGGCGGCGCCCATGGCTGTTACGTAAAATCGCGGTGCATGATTTCTCATTGCACCAACGATGCTTCCACGTCTAACATAGCATATATCTATAAGGTATTCAGAAGCATTGATTAAAGCGCCAGTTGGTGCATCGTTGTGAATTCATTGAGCGAAACGAAACAGGGCACAGGAAAACAACGCTGTGGACAGCGTAGGCAGTCTATCTTGTCCACAACGTTACTTGCTGTGCTGTGCTTGTCTGTAGGGTAGTGTGGCATCAGCTATATGCATTTCTCTCGACGCCCGCGCCTACAGAACTGCCAAAACTATCAATATACAGTCACACACTAGTTTATTGGTTGATGTCATCGGCGAGAAAATGTAACATTTCTATATTTAGTACTCTTCTTAGCGTTTTGACGATGATCTGTCAGCGTTAAATCATCAGTGACCGGTGATGAGGGGTGAACGGTCAGGAGATATTTAAGTAGATTTTAGAGAAACAATGATATATAACCCAGTTTTCTCGATCCATTTTTTTGTTTTTATGGAGCTAGTACTTTGTAGAATAACATTCACTGTACAGCTATCATCAAAAGTTTACGGGACATGGTCTCCACTGGTAATGTCAATCAACCAATCAAATGAAATTTTATTTTCCCTGAAGATAATAGAGTGCATTATTCCCGCAAAAATAGGTTAACAGAGAAAAGCGCTTCACTTGCTCAGCTTGAATTAGCTCTGGTAACCCGTACAGTGGCGACAGAACGACACATCCAAGCAAAATTAGCCGCACCATATACGATTCTATCACCAAAAGAAGTGTGTGAGTTTCCACTCTGTAATGCCATTCACGTCTGGTTTAACCGATAAATGCGTAGGCTGAAAATGTTACTATGGGCTGCAAATGCTATGTTCCCAGACCAGGTGCATCTCGTGTACTGGAAAACTTTTGTGCTACTCGACGTACTTGCACTTGATTCAAGTGTACATCGCCTCGTTAGCCTCCCTCTTGCGTTTACGAAGCTTTCGGTCAACGTCGTCGGCAGAGTGCACGAAGTGCTACAATGTTGGTAGGGACCTTCGCCGGCTCACCCAGTGTATTTCAGCACAGCCACTGCCAAGACTTGCACCTCTCGCATTCTCAATCCACTGCCATAAAGCCATAAATCACGATGAAGTGCCGGGTTTTGTGTGTGTGCCAAAGATACAAATCCACCGTGTGTACAATTGTCTACCCTTCCGTTGTAATTACACTTCGAAGAGCGAAATGCAAAGTGTGTACGTGTGATCATGAGAATGCCTGATTGGAATCTTTAAGACATACCGTGGTTTTGTTGTTTTTTGTAATGCATGTATGCTTACGTGTATGAATGTGCATATCTATGACCAGCGGTGGTAGCGCGCTTCCTTATCGATCTAGAAGCACCCATCAGTGCGTACACCTTACCTTCTTCTCTTTCTGACCTATAGCAAGCACTGGGCATCACGCAGATGTTTCGACATATTTGCACCTTTAATACACTCGATGAGCCTGTCTTCATAGAGTCACTGCGTTTGTATATTAAACGACAGAAAGCGCCTTTGTGGCTAGAAATTTGATCTAAATTGTAAACCTTCTGTCGGTGACAAGGTTAGCATAAGCTATACATGGCTTCCAAGGAAGTACTCTTAGTGCATAGCGTGTACTAGGTACCGATGCTTGTTATTTCACAAGCTGTTATCTTTTTTACATTGGATAACTATAGATGCGAAAATGACCAGGTTTTATATACTGCATCAGTATTACTTTCACTTTTCTGTGATACAAATGTGCAACTAATACACAGAAATGAACAATATTGTCCAAAGCGCGATTCTATAGCTCTCGCTTAATAAATTCTCTGCAGACGCTACGTTAGCGAAAATGAATCCGGAAGTTACGCGGGGCCATTATGGATCAAAGAAAGCAGCTTTAGCGCCATTAGTATATTATATAACAGGTGGTTCGTTTTGCCGGCAAACGTACGAGATTTAGCTTCGATGTCTTTTAAGCGTAGGGCTTTTTCAGAATTGTTTTTTTTTTTTTTTTCAGGACGGGACCGGGTAAGCAGCGAATGCATGTTTTCAAATGCCAGCAGGTCTATCACACGTATTCAGCCATTGTAAGTGTCACAACGACTCGCAAATATTCCGACGTCACTTCACTCTTTTGCACATCCGGGAATAGCAAAATGCGAGATATCATGTAGAACGCATGTTTCTATTCTCCACGAACGAATTTCGTCTTTCTGGTTTATATGTGCGTGTTTTATTCAACTAGTTCTTGACTCAAAGTGTAATTTATGTGATGATGAAAACGAAGGCGCGCGAGTGTTTTGCAAGTGTTTATTCGCCTCTGCGAGAGAGTGAGTGAGAATTTATTAGAAGGCAGAAAGGTCGGCTTGAGCCTCAGAAGTGTATGTTTTGTAAGCACAAGCTAATTTTAAAGCATGGAAGATGCTTTCTTTTTCTCCTTTTAGAGTTTCTGCGCTGGAGAAATATACATTTAACACCGATGTCATAAGGCGCCGTTATATCAGTCAGTATGGCCAAAACTGCAGCATTCTAAGCTGTAAAACCCAGGCCAGATACCTTTATACGTGTGCTTGTCATGATGTATATTTATTAGAAATGTACTAGACGAAAGAAATAAATGCTTGATGTATCGGTGAGTCTTTGCAGCACTCTGCTGTCTCGCACTTGAAAGTTGTCAAGGCCGCAATGCAATAATGTGTAATTGTTGACACATTCATGTCTGGAAAAGTATACACCGGTATCTCCGTATTACTCAAAGACAGATGCACGCATTCTGAATGCGCCTTGTGAAGATCCATGGCAAATGCCTCGCCTCCACAGCTTCGCTGTACGTAAAACTACGCAAGCCAAAAGTGATGAACTTCTGTGAAATGGATTTTTTTTTTTGCTTCGTAGAATAAAATGAGCTTCCGAGCTCTCGTACTTATTTGTACGTCTGTGTTGCATTGTGTCTCCGCAATGCCTGAAATTCTGTACAGGCACAACGTAATCAAATCTAGGTACAACGAAGTAAAAAAAAAAGTAA